GTGGGGGGTTTTCATCACCCCTCACTTGAATACTGGACTGGAATGCATGTTTAATGAGCCAGCCTTGCAAGACCAGGGCATGGAAGCCACACGTGCCTCAGGTTCCCAGCTGACTGCCCCATCACTGTCGAGGGCATTCGCGAAGCACAAGGAGCCAAGACAGAGGGCCACTTAGGAAGGACATTTGTAATTTATTTGTCCGTTCGCAAGTTTTCTGGCAGCCTTAGCTTCAGGCACTGCGGAGATTCTTGCCGAGTCCGACTTCGGGATCATCATTTGCTCGCCGTATCTACGGTGCTTGGACTGTACTTGTCGCAGGTCGTCGATTTGAGATGCGTGCCGTAGTTCTGTGAGTCCTGTGCAAGTAAGTACGAGAATGCCCCGGGCTGTAAGCTATATTCAAAAGCTGGAGCCAATATCACCAAATATCGAAACACGTTGAGTTTGGAGTTGACGACCTCACCCGTGCGAAAATGTCTGATCAGCAGGATAGTTTCCTTTAAATCCTGGAGTATAGCCATGATGGATCCAGGTGCGTGCAGACTGCAGTCATCTTGGCAGATCGGCTGGACCTCTTTGCCACCTGACTCTGCCAATATAATTGGTGCCAAAAAGGTTCAGCTAACCTAGACAACATGCGACTGCTAGCCTTTTCTCAAGGCCTCCGGCCAGATTACATACGCAAGCATCCCAAGCCCGTCAACTGCCAGCAGAACCCCTGAAACATAGCTGCTTTCTCCTTCCAAGCAAAAGTTGAAACCTAGCTGTTAAGGTTCTGCTCGACTATGAGATTGGTGAAGTCTTCGGGCGTCTAGTGTTCAGCCGCGCGGATTTCCAATTCATGTGCTTGTAGCTGGCCACTGACTGCTCCCAGCATTTGCCGTGCGTAGTCGAAACATGTCGCTCTGAACCTTGGGTCCCAGGTTCTTAAACTAATTAGACAACCTGGAAACTCAAGGTGGTCATCTGCAATTTACAGGGATTTGGTAAATTGCATCAGGAAGATGAACACACTTGGCTGCAAGGGATCCGAATTAGGCAGTTCAGGCCTGGCTAAGACTGTCCAGCTTTAGCACTCACCTGAGCATTCCAGGGCCAGTTACCAGGGTTCAGAAGCTCAGAATGCACACATTTTTAATGCAATGCTCCAATCGGTTGGAGTCGATGGCATCACTAAGAGGCAGGTTCAGATTGCGAAAGCTTCGGCACAATCATGTGTTAGTATCTGAAAGGTGTCGTGGTCCCATATGGTATGACCTTGAGACCTCTACTGTAACGCGAGATTTGCGTGTAGCAGGAATTGCAGAAGACAAGGCTCAGAAGGGTGCGCATGGCCATGTCATAAAGTGATGAGCATCTACTTGAAAGCTCTCACAATGCTGTAGCTTCCAGTATTTATTTCTCTGCTGGCTAGACGCACCTCAGTATGCTCCCCACGTCAGTCATCCCCACCAATGGCCTCTAAGCACAAGAAACAATCAGGATTGTTTAAGAAGCTGCTTCCTTCTTGGATCATCTGGGAAGACTTTCAAAGCCTCCGAACTGAAGGTTACCAATATACCATATCAAAGAGTGTGCAGGTGAGGAGCTTTGCAGGAAGTTTCAGCAGCAGCTGGGCCGAGTTTGACACAGGTGTCGGTACATCTTTAAGGAATTTAGGGCCTTTGGGACTCTCTGGCTGCGGCAGGGTCGGGCACTGCTCTATCCACTACTGTTGCCTGCTTAATTCCTGACTGGAGACATGTATCATGCTGCAGGAGCGTAAGATTCACATGCTTTCGTGGTGTTTTTCTTGGCTCCCCAAGCTCACTAAAGGAATCTCACGCTTCAAGCCTGAAGGCCTCACCCTTCTGGTTGCCCCTGCGCTCTCTAGCTGAAGATTTGCGGATGGGGTTGATGTTCACCGTTCCCACGTAAGCAGAGCACTCCCCCACAACAAGTGGGGGAACATAATACTGCGGGGTCCGCACTTAACCCGTGGAAAAGTTTTTTTTGGGAGCGGGGCACCGGCGTTTGCATTTCTTCAGTCAAAAAAAATCCTTTTGTATTTGTCATTCTTCCTTTTGGCTAATGTTCTACCTGTTGATAATGCCTTCCCATTTCATTGCCGAAGCCCACCATCCAGGCAGGGCAGCGTCCCTTGGCGCTCCCGGCGGGAACTATATCAAGCTTTGAAGCTGCTCAGAAAGCAAACTAGCATGGAACTGACTCGAGGATGCCAGGTTAAAAGGCTTCAGGCCGAGGATGTTGGCAGTTTTGATTTTTTGCGCTGTGGTTCAAGATGTTGGCTTACACTGGTCCGCTTCAAGACGCCATCAACACCTACTTGCAACCAACAACTGAGGTCTTGGTCCACGGAGGTCTCGGAGCTCTTTGAAGACGCGCCTGCGACGTCCTCTAGGCTTGGTTTTGTGCACTGGTATTGCTCAACTGCAGTATGTAAGGGCTGTTAGTCACAGGTTCTTGGACTTGCTGAAGCTTAGGGACTTGTCTATGTCCAGTGTTGCCATACATTTGTTGGTCGCAACCTGCAATTGCATGGAAATTCCTGCCAGAGGCGACCTCTGTACCACCGTATCGGATGGCGCCGAATCTTGGGGCAACCTCCAAAATGCGGCGCACCACGTCTTGGTGATTTCTCCACTTGTGTTGTTTGCATGCCTGCCTCAACTGCATAGCTCATTACTGTGTTACTTTGTTGAGTAAAAGTCCGCATCAAAACATTTCTATGGATCCTGCCTCTGCACTCGACGGACTCTCGTGACATGGTGGAGCTCCAGGTCTTCATGCAGCGCCGATTTCACAACCTGCAAGCTTCAAAGGTCTGTGCAACTGTCCACAGCTGAGGAAACGCTCGCAGGTGCCCGGCAGCGCTATGCAAAGCGCTTCCTGACGTGCCCGGACAGACATACATTCATGCAGAGTGACATGCAGCTCTACTGAGCGAGTTCAGCTGTATCTAAACATGGCGTAATTGAATGTCATTGCAACCCGGGGCACACTCTTTCAAGATACCTATCAAAGAGGTGTTTGACGCTACGCTTCCTGGTAAGCTGGCTACATGCATCAAAACATGCAAGTGCTTCTTTGGAAAAACATGCACCACAAAAATCGCTGTTTCTTGCAATGCTGCCAGCTGCGCAGTGTGCTTTAGGCACCTATGCGCAGCAGAGCAGCAGAAGAGTCAGCAGAGTCAGGCAGGCCAGAGTGAAGAGGTGACGGATGACACGGGCAGCCGACAACAAAGTGCGCAAAGAATCCGGAGACTGAGGAAGGAGCCAAAGCCAATGCCGTCCTCGGCGTCTGCCAGACGCGGATCGGTCACTAGCATTGCCTGCCAGCGTCTGCCGCCCAGCACTTCTTGCCAGTCGCCTGCTTTCCTGCACTGCCGCTCTCCCGGGGTGCCCCCAGTTAGTTTTGGTTTAGGATTCAGGTTCTAGGCCCATGCCCATGTTTCTCTCTTTAGGTTAGGGGTTCTCTCTTACGTGAGCCCCTCGCCTTCGCTTACTTGTTTTCGCACGCCCGTGGCGCACAGCGTTTGTGCCTTCGCGCCGCCGCGCCCGTACAACCGGGTTTCGTTACCTTGCTTGGAAAGGGTTTTTTTCCCTGTTTTCGCGCGCCAAGGGGCAGCGGCGAGTCTCTGACCGAGCCAAAGCCAAGTCTCAAAATCAGGGCAACTCTTTTCCACAGCGGATGCCTCCAACAGAAGGACCTCATTCTGGACAGGCGCATTTGGCAGATGCATGCGGATGCTGCCGATTTTGGCAACGTGGCTTGAGGAACTCCGAATGCAAGAAAGTAAGCAAGGAGGGAAAGAACCAAAGAAAGATCAAAAGTAAGGCTTCTCCTACTCCCACTCCTGCTCATCTGACTATGACTATTGTTATTTTTCTGTTCAGGGGGAAACGAGGGTGAATTCGGCATGTCTCTACCTGAAAACCCTTCAGACAGATCATTGATCTGCAAGAGGAGGGGGGTGAATGCAACATTTTCTTCTTCTTCAATAATGATTACTGTCATCACTCGTGTAGCTTGTATAGTCTTCAAACAGGAGCGGTAGGGGGAACCTCTCCCTCACTCAACCCCAAACATGATAACAAAATTTTCCGGATCCGACCATTACGACTACTGCTGCTGTCATTACTACAAGTGGTACTAGTATGGCTATTACCACCATCGCTATTACAACAGTGGCTAGTGGCTAGTACCATTGCACCTGTCGTCACTGTTTCCATGCCTACTATTTGCTACTAGTAGGAGTAACACTTGTGCGTTGCATATTGTTATGACCCTTGTGTTTATCGTTGTTGTTAATGTGGCTGTTGCTCTTATTTTATTCTCGTTCTTATTATTACCATTCATATTTGAAGAAAAGGCAGACCTCGTACGCCGTAAGCACTATAATCCCCACTCTCGCAAACTTTCCAAATGCTGCAACTTGCACTGGTCACGGCTTCGGACGACCTTCAAACACTGCAACTTGCACTACTGGCACCATTTAGAGATGTCGTTTTGTTATGGTTGTAGCCATTGCTATTTATTCTCTTTACGATGCTAATTTGTAGCTTCGGATGGCCTCCAAGTTGTGCAATTCGCAGAATCGGCACCTTCTTGAGGGTCGACTGCAGATACTGCAGTAGTTTGTTTGATATCAATGTCATTTGTTAGATATGTTTCTGGTCTTGTGGGAGCTAATCTTTTGTCTTAGTAGCTCCGCCGTTTGTTTCCCTCGTGCCGGGACAACTTGACAGATTTGCAGTTTGCTTTTGCCAGGTACTTGGCTAGAAGCCGCAAAGCCAAGAGGAACATGTGCCGTGGCTTATTTGTGCAATTTGAGGACCTGTGTTTATAAGACCCAGAGAATGAATACTTCTGATCCACTTGGTATTCCTGTTCTGATCGGCCAGCATGGATTTCCAGTGCCCTGCTAATGCTGCATGTACCGTTTTCCTCCCTGCTGTAAACCTCCTGGGCTCTCCACTCTGAACGGGCTGCAATCTTGCAATGCATGCTCGTGATGCAATGCTCTTATCAGGATCCTGGTGTCCCACGGCCATTTTGTCGAGACAGCGCTGAAGTGACTTTTCGGCACTCCAGGTCGGGCAGCTTAGTCATCAGGCAGTCAGCCTGTCAGAAGCACCGGTGGCCCAGGATGTTTCTAACTAACAAGCTGCTGCGCATATTTCGCAGGGTGTCAAGATGTAAGCGCAACATGTGCGCCCACTCCCTCACCCAAGCTGAAACTCCATGCAAGACTTCATGGGCCATCCCGACCCACTGCCAGGAACATCCTTGGTGGCGTAGCCTCAAACCTTGGAACAAGCCTCATCAGTCGCCATATGATATGCCGTGAAGCAGCTGATGACTGTGATTCGCGGTCTGAGGCTTCTTCCAAGCACTTCCGCACGAGACGTAACCGCAGTCCGCTACTGCGCCCTAGCTTTCCCCGGGTGAAGACATGGTGAATTGCTTGTTTGGGTACTGATGATTCCAAGTTTACAGAACTCTTTACAGTAAGATACTTCGGTGGTATTGCTCCCTTGGCTCAGGTGGTGGGCTCATGGCGCGCCTTTGTCGCGCATCACCAAAGTTAGTGGTGCGCACAGCAAGCACCGACTTTGCGTGGGACGCCGCTTGGCGAGCAGCAAATCCCTGTGCAAAGAGAACCATTCGCTGGTCTATGCAGGGGAGCAGATTAAGCGGGAGCGCCCAACCGCATGCAAGGATGCCGGCACGCAGAGCTACGAAATTGACACATGGCTGCATGAATCACTTCAATCTGTTCTGAACAAGTTCCTTTTTCCTTTTCAGTGCCTTTGAATGCCTTGCCCTTGCCTGTGTGGGCCCAAACAATTTCTTGTTGCGGTGGCCTATCTGCAACGACCTTTTCTACAACTTTCTTGTTTTTTTGTTTGTTTGTTTTCCTTTGCTTCCTTTGTCAAAGCTCTTGGCATGTGTGGAATGCCGATTCAGGCAATCCTAGTAACTATCAATGTAATGAGGGGACCTGGCCGCTAGACTGAGGGGGCAAGTGGCGATGCGGAAACACAATGCCGTGTCGTTTACAAGATTAATATGACTACCTATTGCGAGGCAGAAAGCCCGGATTGGGAGCCATCGACGGTTGTGTCCTGTCTGCACTTCTTGCATCATTCAGGGCCAGCGGAATCGAACGACAGTGTACGCTTCCACGAGGCCAGGAAGTCGGAGGATGAGGAGGAGCGGGAGCTGGTCGATGCCAGTCTGCCATGGTGGGATGTCAATGTGGCTTGCCACGAATCGTGGTAGAGCAAGCAGCCCCATGCAATGTTGCTAGAGGGAGTCAATGCCTCCGAAACGTTTCTTGTGGTCGCGCTCATTCCTCTCCAATGGTTTCTTGGTGTTTCTTGCTTGAGCAGAGCCCGTGACATGCTCCATGGCGTGAAGACCCTTGAAGGTTTTTGTCAGAGAACACAGCTTTAGTGAGACATGTCAAAAAGAATAGGAAGTCACCCTGAGGCTGCTCGAAACTCAAAGCACAATAACTGACGCAGCCTGCTGCTCAGGTGTTTGGCATTGAGTTTGGTGCAAAGTCAAAGCGCAACCGCACCGAACGTCAGGTCCAGTATGAGGCAAGGCAATAGCCGCGTGCAGCTCGCAAGCCTTGCTAATCCAGAAGTGTGGCGGTAGTGGCAAGGTCGCTGGTTTATCTGCCCACATGCTTTGAGAAAGTGTGAGACTGTACACATTTTGTGCATCTCCCTCCTGCGAGATGAAGACTGTTAGCCAATGGATGCCGTTCTAAACCACCTATTCTAGCGAGACTGGGCGTATTAGGGCTTAGGGCTTGTAGAGACCCACGCGGCGCACAAGCTTGCGAAGAGCGGGTGCAGGACCGAATGGCTCCTCATAAATGTTGATCGTGCATACTGCATACATGTATACACTACGCCGAAATGGATGTGAATGGCCCCACGCGCAAGAGGGCGCGAGGATGGACGCCAGGACACCCTAGCAGTTTAATGCTGGGGCATGGATACCAAAGTAGAATTTACACCCACATGGCGGGCTACTCTTGTCTTCGGTGTTTTCAGCTTGCCCTGAGTCTGAGAGGCTTTTCTCAAACAACTGCACACGCAGAAACTGACGTGGCAGCGCCTGGAGGAACTTCTCGGCGAGCGCCCCGGCATTGCAAAAAGAAGGCTGCTGAGGCAGACCGTGCAGGCTGGATGCAACTCAGAGCATCTAGGTACCAGATGTAAGTTTCCGGCTCGTCGGCCTGAGGCTTCTGCAAATGTTTTCTGGGCAAGTCAGCTGTAGACACAGCTTTGGTTGTTCTTGAAACCTAGACTGCCTGGTAGTCACGGGCAGGCATGTTGAGGGCTGGGATTACCAAAGGCCCCCAACTTTTTTTGCTGTCAGATGACAAGATTGTTCCAGGCTAAGCCAGTCAACCCGTAGCCCTCGACGCGAGGGAAATGCAATGCTAGAAGCCGCTGCTTGGGGAGGGTCGGCGGCGGCAGCAGCAGCAGGCTCTTACTAGGATCACGTGCGAGGAATGCTGATATCTTGTAATAAGCTGCTTAGCTTTCTCAGGTTGCCGCAGGGCATGCGGCCTGCCACGGAAGGCCGCTTGAGTTGCACCAGCGCAACTGAGAGCCTCAGACACGCATTGAATCGTGGAGTGATGGCTTGCATGTTTTGCGTGTTCGGAGCGAATTGCTGCTCGCTCCTGCCATGGATTTCGTGTGGACAACCATGTACTTAGCCGTGCTCTCCGCACTTGCAACAGCTTACAGGCGCTAGCTGCAGCAAGGAGTTCTTAAGGTTGCATAATACTCCGTGACCCAGGAGCATTAATGACAATGACACCTGCAGTTCGGCCCGGATGCGCCATGGATTGCACAACAGGTTTGAACAGGCTGCAAAGACTTGAGTGATCTTGAGTGAACAATGGGCAGCCAAGCGATGAGACGCATGACTTGACGAGCACCTTTTCTGGATATCTAGGTTCCAGCGGAACAGCTGGGAAACCGTACGGACCGCTGACTTCACAGAAGGCCTGCAGCATGACTTGGGGAAGCGACCTGCTACAAATCACGCTTAAACTCGGTCACGGCCTTTCAATGTGGAGAGCTGCTGCTCTGGTAGAAATAATGGAAGGTGACGTCGCTGCAGCGCCGGTGGTTGCGCCAGAACAAGCTCCCGCAGCTTTTAACCTCAACGCGACGCTCGCTTTGTCACTGAGATATCCACGTGTCAGTCACGCATTGTGTGTTGGATATAGGTTATACCAGTCACTCAGGAACTCGCTGCTAAGCCGGCGGCCAAAGAGCATGGCCTTGAAGCTCCCGAGTTAGCCGCTAACAATCGTTAGCTGCTTTGAATAACCCGGGGTCCATAGGCTTTTCGTCGCCACCCAAGGAGGAAGCGCGACGACACTTCCATTGAAGAGTGCTTGCGGTTTCCGTTTCATCGCTTTTACAAATCGCAATGCTTTACTTAGTTCGGTCCACCTACGTAGTAGTAGAGGCCTGGTTGCCACCTGTGTCATGAACGTTTCATGTTTGAGCCCGTTTCTGATTCCATCGTTTGTGCTGCGTCAGCACAGCTGCTCGAACCCGTAGCCTCATCTTCTGCCTGCCACCGCAGCAAGCCATGACAACATGGGTCAACTTTGATGCCCAGAAGGCCTGGGAGGGTTTCCTGCTCAGGGCCTTCAGGACTTCAGGTGCGTGAAGCGAAAGAAAATTCCATGATCTTTTAATGCATGTGGCACCCTGGCAGAGGTGCCTGGTGAGGAGGCCAAGGTGCGGATGACCTGCACGGTCCTTCCGCGGAAGCGAGATTGGCTGGTGAGGCACACAGCCCAAACAGGCATCTGCGATATAATGCTGTACTCACTGTACTGGGCAAACCCCAACAGTTTTTTTCTGGGATCGGTGCTGCAGCTTCCCTCCTACTATGGTGGGAGGGGTCGGCTTAGGAGGGTTGAAACTTGACTGGCGGCTGTGTTGCTGCTTGGTGAATGTGATAGATTCTAGTACTTTGATGCGATCTGCCCTGTCGTAGGGGAATCCGTAGCATTGGCGAGGCTGCTGGAGAAGTGTCCGGGCCCAAAGGCAATGGTCCGCACTATCCCAGAAGCGGCGAGACAGGAGCTGGTGGGATACGCAAGACTATGGCAAGACTGCAAACTTGTCAAAGCTAAAGCAGCATCAGTTGAAAACTTCCGTCTCTGCACCTTTCTCAAGTGCTGTTTCTTGGATACTCGGATACCTTCCACTTTCAACATTCAAATGCCACATGCACCTCGTAGGTTTGTGCAGTGCAGGAGGCTGGTGACATAGCCCTGGATCAGTACCTTGTCTCATCTTGTCTCGCTAGGGGTCTGTGGGATTGAGGCCTGACCAAAGCTACATTCAAAAATGTGCTTGCGAAGCTGATGCTGCTACACCTTTGACTCATAACTTCCCTATCCCTTCGTCAACATCTTTATCTCGCTATCGTTTTTTGGCGTTTGCTTTTCGACTGGGCGGCCATGCCTTTGCTTCCTTATGCCTGCCTATGATTATGTTGCTTGCTATTGCTCTGTTGCACTAGATCTGCTCCGAGGGAGCCAAGGCTCACCCGAAGCCTCGGCAGTTTCAAGAAACGTGCAGCAAGGGCTGGCAAAGACTCTGTCTGGTTAGTCACTGCAAGATACTGCAAGGTTGCCTAACAAACGGTACAAGGGGAAACGGGGTGTCAGTTCTTGCGGCCCTGTACTGCCTGGTCAGGAGGGGCGTGCCGTTGAATTTCCAGCTGGAGCATGGCGAGTGACGCTCTGAGAGTCCGGGCACATCTTTGATGTTTCCAGCGTGGACTCAACCTAGAATCTGGAAATCTAGACGTGGTTCAACATGTCGATGGCCTGGACAGAGTTGCCTAGGTGTCCACCCCAAGCGCCAAGATCGATTGCCCAAGGGCAAAGGTCATGGTTGAGGCTTTCGGCTTGCGTTTGCTCCTGCACTCAGCTGCTTTGAGACTGTGCCTCGAGCGCGAGGAAGGACCGCCACGCAGGTATGGGTGTTCGTTTTGGAGTGGACATAGACGAGCAACAAAAATTGATTGGCACATGAAGTAATTTAACTGCTAACACGAGACCGCCTCGGCAAAGGCTGTCGAGGCCTAGAAACTCCAAAAACATGCCGATCCTACACCCCTGCATTCGTGCACACTCACCAAACAATAAGTTTCGTTCCCCGCCCCCGCCAACCCCCCGCTTGCATGAATCCCAAAAGAACACGTACTCCCCCCGCCCCCCTCCGCGCCGGCACCAAACTCACATTGCCCCCAAATCGTGGGCGCTGGGCGGGGGTAGGGGAGTGTTAACTTACTGTCCTAGTCTCCGGGACCTGGATCTAAACGCCCAGGGCTCCGCCCTCGGCGGATGTTGGGCACTGCTGTGAGGAGCCTATGCCTATGCATAATGACATAGTGCATGCGCAAACGTCACCAACAGCAAGCTGTAAACGGCCCGCTCTCACCCCTGGATATAACTATGCTCTGCGAAATTGGGTCCAAGCCAGGCGGCTGCAGAGCGCAGTCTTGAAGGGGCGGCACGGACAACTGTATGGCTAAAGAAGCAGCTGGAGATGATTCTGGGCTGGCTCTTTAGAAAAAATACAAGTGTGCATGCAAATGGGTCAATCAGGCTGCAAAGCACAGGTCTACGTCAACCTTTGGCCGTCTCAAGCCTCAGGCTCCCAGGCTTGTGAGCACCTTCATAAGCCAATCTTAAAGAGCATGTTAATCATTGCCGTCTAGGCATGGCAACGCCCTGTAGCTGTAGTTCTGTGCAGTCCGTCCCACCCTTTCTGACGAGACTCCGGGAGAATCGGTTTATATAGCGACACTTGGACATTTACCATTTATGTAAGACTGCTTGTAGCTCCCCCTGTACGGGCCTGCGATGGGTGTCAATGGCAATCCTTTGCTTAGCTTGCCCAGTATACAGTAAAGGGACGCAGAGACCCTGTGAGTCAGGAATGGCGACACATTGCACTGCAAGAGCCAGCTTGCAGAGATCCTTCGGCCGCCTGATTGCTGTCGAATGAATATGATCGAAACATTTGCTTACGCACTCATACGGTGTCTAGAGTCTAGATATTCTTTAAGCTTGGGCAAAGGACTGCTTGGTGAGGGATAAGTTTTTCCTTCTAAGCAGCGATCACAGTCAATGTGTCGTTGTGGGGTTGCTTCTCAGTGTTTCTGCGTACTTGCATTGTATTCATTCAGTGTCCACAGATCCTGCTGTGGCAAGCTCGAATGTCATGCGAACGTTACCGTACCAAGTCGAGTTCAGATTGACAGAAGATCTTACGCAACTATTCCGCATTCTTCAAATTTATGTATTCGTTCGTGCTGCACCTTTTGCCCTGGTTGTGTTTTGCTTTCCTCCAGTTACGGTTTCCAACCAAGATTGGCAGGCTTGGCCCTGGTGCCACCCTGGACCACGCCGCGAGGCCAGAGAGATAGACTATAGATCCAACCAGTTCAAAGGGAAGGTTTTGCTGCGCAAATGCTTCCGCACATTACGGGGTGTGTGCCTGTTCAGTTCTGCTGCTCTGCTATTACGGGACGGGTGAGAAGTAGGAATTGTTCTCGTGTCTCTTCAGGGCTTGGTTTGAAATCTTGCTTCATCATGCCCAGCTCCTGAGGAGCATGGGGCTTGGTGTTGCGCTGCGGAATGAGGCCTTCTTGCAGAAGCAGGAGTTCTCTCGCCAGTAGGATGGCTCTCATGAGTCCTCCATCAATGCAAACCTGGATCGACGTATTGTTGGCGCATCCAGTTTCGGAAAACCCAAGCAATGCAGGCCAATCACTCGTTCACACATGCCATTGCATGCTAAGCTATATATGTAGGGTGTCTCTGCGAACTGAAATACTGCTCAGCAGGCTTGGCACTTGGCAGAAATATTTGCGTGGTGCTTTGGCCTCCCCTTTTGCAGGAGGATATGCAGCGAGAGGCGAAGAAGCCGCGCTTGGCTTACATATCCTAGGCCATGGTGCATAGATCATGTCATGCTTTTGCCCTTCAGCTTGGAGGGCGTTGTAAATAATCGACTGGGCCAGAAAGGCAAGAAGCCAGCTCGCAGAACCCCAAGCTATCAGAGCTACTTTATTGCGTGGTGGCTTCTATTTGCTGGTCTGCCCATGGCTGGACCCCTGCCATCTTGACATTTAAAGCCACCGCAGAAAAAATGCTCGCACCATTGCTGCAAGGGCCAGGGCTTAGGATCGCCAATCAAGAGGTCCTTCTGAAATGACGGAACTGAAGCTCTGATGGCTCCCTTAGAGTTTGTGTGCTTGCGTAAAATGCATGAGCCCAACAGCTGGCGAGGCAAACGCTGGCACGTCAGAGCTAGGCTTACCAATGCGCTGATGCCGCTGCTGCCCATGGATGCATATGCTGATTGCAGGTTGTGAGGTTGCCAAGCCATGATTCGCACGGTGCTGATGTCTGCATATCCCGGCCCCTTAGCTGCTTGCAGCACTCCGCAAGCCTTCTTACCAGCGAGCTGGAAACCGAATGAACATGAAAGACGTAGGCAATCGCCGCAAGAGCAGTGGACACAAAATGCAACACGTTTGGCTGCTTCCGCAGGAAGTCGCTGTTTTTCTTTGTGCCACGACACGATATCTTATTCGCCTGAGACAAGATCAGGAGATGTGAGCAGCGAGCCGCCAAAAAGCAGCTGTCCTGACACCGCACACCCCCTTGGTTGATGTTGGTTGTGCCAGGCGGTGGTCTGCGCTAACTTTGTCTACTTGTCCGCAGGTAATCCTTGTCGACGACGCCAGCCATCCTGATGACCTTCGCTTCTACCGCAAGCACTGGCCCAACCTGCATGACATTGCCTCGTCAGGGGGTCCTGCATCATGTTGCAGTGCAGCTTGCAGATAGCGCGTCAAGGCACTGGGGACGCCCCTGACTGTGATTCTGCAACAGGCTTCGCCTTAGCCCATGCACTCGTTGGACATTATAGATGTTACAGGCTGTTACCAGGTGAAGTATGAGCAGTGTTCAGAGGTACCACAAGCTTGTTGTTTGTCAAAAATCATGATGTACAAAGCTGACCTAGTTGACGGGACCATGGGGGTTACTACCCATGATGTTTGCATTGAGCTTTGGCTTCAGGATCTGCTAAATAGAACGTGCTCGGCGAAGGTCAAACAATCTGTTCCCAACATCGCCCAATCCTAAACCCTAAACCACTAAGCCCCATGTGATGTTCTTTGCGCAATCCGGCACCTTGTGATTGGTCGTATTTCTCAGCTCAGATCTAGACTATTCATGGAGAAGCTATCTTGCCCTGGGACTCAGTCTGGACAGACTCAAAGCCATGGTCTCATTTCAGGGCTACTTCCTGCTGGGCCTGAGCTTGCTTTGGCGCGGGTGCCCCGCTGAAGATAGGCGAAGCCCAAGAAAAAAGTTGATGTCATCTTCCAAGTTTGCTATAGAGAAAAGGTGCATGTTTTGTGGAAGAAAATGTATCTCATTTGGCAGGCCTTGGCCCTTGGCCCCACTCACTCCCTCGGCTCCTCAACAGTGGTAAGGGCATCTGCTCAGCTAGCATTACTATACGCAGTTGTCGCATGTCTGCATTTAGTGTTCCCAAACTTGACGTAGAGGGACAGCGGGCGACTGGGTCTCATGGGGAAAGGTAGTAAGAGCGGTAGGAGGGAAGAGAAGGGAAAGGCAGGGAAAGGCAGGGAGAGAAGGAGGGGAGGGGGAAGGTTTGGTGGCGGAGGGAAGAGCAGGGTGAGGAGGACTGTAACAGCTTCTTTACTGCTTGGTGTTTGAAAGTGTTTCGGGGTTTGCATTGCATATGCGTCCGGGTGTGCAGAGTTTGCCTGTGTGTTTCCCCGTCACGAAGTTTCTAACCATCGCTACAGCAAGTTATGCTGGTGCTTCCTCACAATTGGAGTTTCTGGAACGTCCGACAGTGAACTGTGAGGTTGCTGCAGACCACTTCAGAGATTGAGTGGAAGCAACCCCGAAGCCCTTGCAAAAGTATGAGCTGGGACAAGTTCCCAACGTGGGTAGCTAGTCGATTCCCCGGGACACACAACAGCTGTCGCATAAGGCTTGCGGCTTCTTGGCTGCTCGGCAGAAGATGGCTAGGACAGTCGAGCACAAAGAGGGTTGAAGAAGCCTGGAGGGGGACCAGGTAAGTGCTGAAGAGTACAGTCATGCATCAATAATTGTTTGCAGCTGGATTCAGTCGAGCTGCGCAGCAGCCTGCAGGGTTCTGTGTATTCGAGAACATCAGTACTTCAAAGGCTGATGCAAGGACACAGCTCAGGTCAACAGCGGATGAGACATTCCTTGAGCAGGGGTACATTCGAGGCAACAAGGTATGGATCCGTTAGAAGTTGAAGCCCGCGAGATTTTCGAAAGCGTATCTGGACTCGTTGGAGACTCGTAAAGCCCGAAGTGGCAAGGAAAGCTGCTGCAACTTCAGGCCAGTGACAAAACCGATCCAACTGCCAGTTCCACAGCCTTCCATTGTCAACTTGAGCCCGCATCATTTTGGCCTGCACTCACTGGCAAGGTACTTGGTGGATGCACTTTGGTGGCAATACTTCTAACTGCCGAAGGTGAGCATGGTTTGGAGCATTTGTGTTGCCTTTACTGCTGCATGGTTGCTTGAGCTCGGAAGTGCACAGGCTTAATCACGCGGTTCAAGTCCGGCATGTAGCTCTTCAACGCATATATGCTCATGGTATTTGGATTTCTGATTTGTAGATGCCCAAATTTCTTTGGTCGTGGCCTTGTGTGGCTCCAGTAGGGCAGTTGAGGTTCCGCTTGCAGTGTGCGAAGAGCCGTTTTCGGCCAACACTTTGATTCCGCTGAACATCGACCTTCCGGGACGAAGCGCGCTGAGGGATTGCAGACACAAATGACTTGAAGGAACATCACAGCATTTCAGACCATGCCCTGTGATTTGCGTGCTGTAGCGCGGTCTGGCGTTAAGGCTTTCACGTCTGTGGCTTCTGATGTGTCATCTGGAGTTGAAGCAGCCAGATGCAACCACTGCCCTTTCATTCGTGCAGCACTAGGAATTCAAGTCGCCCCAGGGGATCAACCGCACATCTTCACCATCTACCGGACGGGCAACAGGCAGCTGGACTTCTCGACCCTCAGCAGAAACACATCAGCATGATGGTGGTGGCATTGAGGGGAGTGGCGACCTTGCAGTACCGATGCATGTCCTGAAATGAGTAAGAGGGTTTGAGACGATGGAGTCTTTTAACATCTTTGAGCTAATTCTGCGCGTTGAGCCGCCCTAGCTTCTGCATGATTCTGCATTACGCGCGCTGCGTGGCTCAGGTTGTCTGTGCTAGACTCCAAGAACAAAAAAGTCACAGACGTGGAGGCTCTGGGAAAGTTGCAATAGCTTTCGCTGATGTGCAACGTCAGTTCTGTCAGGGCTCACAACTTGAGCCAACGGCAACAGGCCTCCTCGAGGGCTGAGCCCAATCGTGAAACAACACAATATGAAGATTTGACAGGCACGGGCAGCAGACTCAAGTCAGTTTTGCATGAACGAGGTGCAAGGGGGATGGCATGTTGTGTGAAGTATTTCGCGGGGTTATAAAGGTCCAAAACAGACCAAGCATGTCAGCACAGTTAAAACATTTTGCCAGCCCAGAGGTCAAGCTGGAGGGGCAGTTGAGTCCTGCGGCAGAACCGTCCCTTGGTGCAGCATCGATTCGTTTGGCTTCAGTTCTGTGTCAGAACATGTCGCGTGGGCAGCCACCAAATCTTGTCCAGGCATGTGGGGGCTGCCTATCTTGTTTAGTTAAGCCTCATGGATCCGCGTTAAATGGTCTAGCCCAGCAGCCAAGCTGTTGCGCACAAAAAATGGTGCTTCCGAAGCAGCACATGATCGGACGACAGCCAGCTTGATGATTCTTATGCATTTGCTGGAGGACTGCGACCGCAACTACAACCACCTTCACAACAAGCACTGCCACCATGTCTACAACCTCTACAAGCACCGGCATAATTACGGACTCCTGTCGGCTTTATGCATCCACTTGAGCAGGACACGCAGGGTGGACGCATAGACTCGGGAAGCCGCTTGGCTTCCCTTCCCGAGGCAACATCGACAACGTTGACAATGACCGAAGACGAGGACAGCTCTCAGACTCGCACCTGATGTTTGTAGTGTAGTGTTGCTTGGTCTCGAGCAAATTAGGTTGGTAATCTGAGTAGGATGAGAGCGCTTCCGGCCTTGCGATTTGTGTTGCTTCATGTCAGATGTGATGGACATCCTTTTGGCTTCCCCACTTTTTCTTACTCCTGGCCGGTTTTGCTCACAGGATGAGAATGAGACACGTATGGAGAAGGACAGACATGCGTGGAAGGGTCACACTTCAGTGCCTCAAGTGAGCGCAGAGCGACAAAGTGCGGCGCCTGCTCGTGAATGAGAGACTTTGCCCTCCTGTCCGGCAGCAGGTAGCCAAGTAGCCAGGTAGCCAGGTACAGTAGCCCCTATTCTTTCCAAGTTTGGCGGTTCAAGCCAGGAAAGCCTCAAGCAAGCAGTAGCATACTGGATGCAGTGGCGAAGCAGGAAGCAGGCCACACAAAGCACACTCCGTGCAATTACCTTGTCATCCCGATCGACAGCCATTGAATCCAGGACGATGCCAAGGAATTCGTGCGCCTTCTTGGTCGCAGGCACTTGGCTCGGACTCGAAGAGCGGGGGATAGATTGCAACTGGATAGATCTGGCGCAAAAGTCAGCAGCCCTGTCAAGCATGTAACTATAGGCATGTAACTTTCTCACTATAGGATTCCCTGCTGGTATTAGAATACGCCCACGCTTGGGTTTAAATGCATTCTGGTCCCCCTAAACAGACTGCTTTCCGCAGGCTCACCTTGAACATGCTGGATACGAAAACTAAACACAGCTCCATATTGTGTGCCGTTGCTGGGACTCGAGCACTCCTGGTACAAGGGGCTCCAGCGCACATGAGCGGAGGGTACAAGGCCCTGTCCCGCCCAGGCCAGGAAGAGCTCTGTCAGGCAAAGGCAGCGGGATGCAACAATCGATTCAATCGATTGGTTAGGAAGGCTTTGCAGAGTATCAGGAAGAACCGCTGTCAGTAACCGCAGCCGAAACTGCCTCGAAGCAGCTTACAGTCGCATACGGCCTGCCACGTGGACTTGATGTGACTTGATTGATGCAAGCTCCTCCAAATTACGTTGTTTGGACGCTTGTGTGTGCATACAGCGGGCGGCAAAAGTGGTGCTGTGGGTTGTGCTCAGACAAGACGGTTTGTGCGGTCCAAACTTCAGGTATCATGAGATTTTCTTGCGCGCTCTTTGTGTGTGCGCCTTGTGTGCACGGTTTTTGCATTTGCTGGGTTCCTGAAACCCGGCCTTTCCAGGTGTCCAGCTGAGCCGGCAGTGGCGAGTGCAATCAGACAAATCAGTGCAAGATAGTGCAATGATTCGGTCTTCTACAATGGCACTTTACTTGCAGTGCGCTACTCGTGGCTCTGTCAGGCGGGCGTTCCTATGGAGGCACCACAGGCAAGTCCGCATCAAGTCTTGGTTCGTGAGGGCGGGGGACAGCACCAAGTGCCAAGCCGCCTGAAGGCGGTCGGCGTGGCTACACATCTTACACAGGCCCGGTGCAGCAAAACAAAGAATCGATAGCAGACAAGTGTCACTAGTAAAGGACTTAGGAATATAACGAATGTTCTGCCCCCGTTGATGCAATCCTTGCCACACAGAGTGATGAGACTTAGTTTCGAGGCCGTCGCGGCTACACACCCGCCAGATACACGCCAGGCACCGTGCATCCTGCTTCATGCCCCGTACTATTCTGCGTGATCGACACTTTGCATTGGGCATCCAGAACCTCAACCTAGATGAGCTGCTCAATGCCTTAGCATTTGCTAGATTCGCGCCGGCGGAGTCCTTTGCCGGTTGTTGACTCGCGTCGGCGAGGCTTTGACAGCACCGTGGCTTGCAAAACGGCTTCGCACAATTCAGACTTCACCAGAAGCAGAGAGTGTGTGTGTGTGTGTGTGTGGATTGCTCTTTTCTCCTATCCTCGGCAGCATTTTGCAGGAAACACGGCCTAGCTCTGTTAACCAACGATACAAAACAAATGGGGAAAGTAGTCTGCCCCCCAGGCCGGCGCAGAGCACCGTGCCCTTGCTGAACTATGGGCAAACTCTTGTACACTTGTTATCTTCTTTCAAGTCTTCCTGGGGCTTCTTAGTTTCTGCTGCCAGTGTACGGGTTGATGGCCTTTTCAATCTGCATGTGTGACCACAATGCATTCTCAGTGCCAGGATGCGGTCTTGCATGGCATTCCGCTCGATCCAGTGGCTGTCGGGCAGGTGAACCATAAACAATGCAAATGGTACTTACAAGTCCCAGCCAACTGGGAGATGTTTTTCTTGCAGCTCCATCAGGGAAGCTTGCAAGCTTGACAAGGTCTGCTCCCATCAGCCAGGCATGCCCCGGGCTTGGCCTTGCATAGCCCATGCTGCAGCTTGAGCAGACTTAATGTCTGATAGATTCTGATAGGCTTTGTCCAGCACGTCGCCATTACTAAATGACAAGTACGTGACGTGGTGAATTGGGCTTCGGCATCTTAGGCCAAGATTCGACAAGTGGAGTTCACTTCTTGTATCTTAAGCCTCGAAGAAAAGATACTAATGCTTTTGCAGCATTTCACGCCGAGAAGTGCTCCTCTGGCAGGGATGGTCCAATCCGTCTCATCCACAAGCCGGCTGCTTGGTGGCCAACAGCAAACCTAATACACAGCACATGCGGTTTATGAGCATTACAGTTGTGCAGAGACAAGAGGCCAACCAGCAGAAGCTTCATGTAGTCACAGTGGACACAGCGGACACAGCGGACAGCTGAAGAATACCATTGTCCTGGCGCGCATTTGTTGGTCCGCCGGCTCGGGTCCCGTGCGCAAAGCAGGCTTAGCAAAGTTCACGGGCCAGAGCATAGTTGCAGAAATGCACACTATGGTCCACTGCCAGTAGGCAACTGCCCAGTAAATCCCATTGACTCATGACTTCAGAGCACATGTGACTTCGAGGCTACTACAGCTACAAGCCAACCTACCGACGTCATCACCGGACGCAGTACGGCTATAGTGATCTGTCTGCAGCAACATCGACTGCACCTTTTTTACCCCCCTCCGGAAGCAGAAGATAATGCTGAGAGGCGCCGAAGTGCTTAAAACAGAGATAGTTAGGTTTAGATTTAAGACGGCCCACAGAGGACCGGCCATTTTGGTGGCTTCTAGTTGCATTTTCTTGCCGAGCATGTTAGGAGCATGGGTTGGGTGGGGTGAGGGGAGGGGGTAATTCCGTACGTTTGACAAGCAAGCATTCTCTAACATTTTTCAAGAAGAATCCTGTAGTAGCTCTACACTCAAAGTGCTCATCTTCTGTATAGTGTTGGGGGGGGTGGGGGGCGGGTGTAGTTCCATACAGGCGAATATTCTCCAGTCTGCTTTCAGGGAGACTTCTGCAGTGCTTCCACACTGGGAGCGCTAGCCTTGGGTAGTTCGTAATGTGAGCCGAAACAAAACCTGCTTGTAATGATTCAGAGAAAAGGCCCACCATAGTGGCGATATGCCTTGAATTCTCGGAGCCACCGCAGGGGCTTGATTCTTTGAAAGGTCCGCCGAAATGCAATTTCACCCAGCAGGCGTGGATGACCGATAGCAAAACCGATCCCCCAAAATCAAGTTAGCACCATGCAAAGTAGCCGAGTATTGTACTATTCATAAGTTGAGAACAACACTGAATTCAGAAGCGCTCCTCAGTCTGCTCACAGGTATGCGTAGGTTGCGAGGAGCTTTATTGGCAGGTTTGTGCGGCAAAAGATATATCGCAGGGGGAGCGCTGCAGGCACAGTCTGGGACGACCGACAGTTGCTGGAAAAGCCGCCAGCAAGCACTTCCGTCCTGCCTAACGGTGAGTACGCCTGGCCAATTGCGGAAAGCCAACCGGGAACTGATGCTTAATGTATACCGCGTCTTGACTCCATTTCGCCAAGAGCGGAGCATGCAGGCTCTCATGTTGATATTGGGGGGAGCATTCAGGGTGGGTATGCGCAGGGCCATCCTTTCAGCGTGTCGAAGGTGCTGTGGTGGGCGAGGCATACTCTCTGGGATGTGCGATAGCGGAGCTTGCTGCTTTTAGCAAAGGACACGTCATGTCATGTTATGTCATCGCTTTGACGTCGCTGTTCATGATTTCAGAATGCGGCTTGCCGCATACAGCGTAGTGGAGGATGGAACTGACACTTGGAAAAGGTTTTGCGAACGTAAAATCGCAACGGCGCAAGAGCACTGGCCACACGCTCCTCTAGGTGGCTATCACGTGTATCCTTCGGGCAGCAGCATGGGGAACTTCGTTTGCACTGGCTTGCTTTAGTCACGTGACCGGAGTCCTGCAGAATAGATAGAATAGTGTAACTTGTTCCTCGCATAATGCTTGTTTTCATAGACAATGCAGCCCACCTTGAAGGCCCTATTGCGTAAAGGCCGAAATCGCTACGAACAAAGCTTCCGAGAGAAATTCCTAGGCAGTAGACGTTCTTGCCTGCAATTGCCCCGCAAATCGTAGTTGACACACCTGAGCCTGAGCAGCCAATTTGACAAGACTCGAAACCCGAGCTTGCGTGCCCATGCAGACATGACTGAGGATCGGTCTGGCTGGCCTTGGTGGGCTTGGCGTTGGATACGCTTTAGGCAGCCACTTCGGACACTACAGGCCTTGGAGACTTGGAGTTGGGATGCCAAGCACCTTCAATACCTTCATAACAGGCTTTCAAGTGATCCATGGCAAGCGGCTCAACTTGAGATGTTGGTCAAGTGATTAGCTCAGGCTTACTTGAATCACGTGGCTGGAGACTTTTCAAGGGAACACTTGGAGTTTCCTGATTTTGGGGTTATGTTGATTCATAGAGCAACCCAGAGTTAGCCGTTCCAGGGATGTCTCCCTGCATAGCCTGAAGTACATAAATTCTGCAAGCACCTCGCCTGAAACTGCTGTGCCCTTTTGAGGGCAAGCAGATGGAACACCATGAATGGCGGCCGGGCCCTCAAAACTCAAAATTCGCAAGTGAGCACATCAGAACTTGAAGGCAGGCACGTGCAGATCTACAACGGGAACGGTTGGACAGTTTCAGACAAGGCGAGAAAAAAAGGATGTTGGGACATTCCCACCACTCCCCGGCACTTCAATGCCCAAGGTCAGTGCAGTCTTCTGCTCTTGTCATACCCGCTGAACGGCTCGTTGCCATGGGAATGCCATGTCCATACGTTTGGCCATTTCTAAGGTCGCGGCTTTGAGCAGTGCCTCTCGACTGCTCTATTTTTGATGCTTGACAAGTCTGGGTCTGTACTTTGAGATACTTACCGAGATGTTGTGTGGAAGCGCAGCCATGACTGAGTAAGATGGCACATGACGATGCAAAGATTCAGCTCTTCGCTGCCACCCCAGCATCATTGAGCAACCGCAGCGTTTTCCATAAGACAGGAGAAGACTGGCCTGACCTGGCGTTCGCTGGCAAACTAGATACTGTAGGAACCAGGCATCAAACAAGATAGGTCGATTTATGGGCATGTTTTATGTGAGCCAAGAGCTGAAGATTGCGAGCGTGGCCATAACGTCCGCATGAAGACCAGAAGAAGCTCTCAGGGGGAGACATGGCGGACCACGGATCAGTCATGCAGCCAGTCAATAAGTTATAGAAGTCGCTCATTCGTGGAAGCTTTCTCGAATCAACAGCCCAGGCTACCACCAGTCATGGCAGGGGTCATGTACCGACTGCGTGAAGGGGTACTCAATGGACAAGTGCCAAACGCATCCTGGCAGCAGTCAGCCTTCAACTTGGCATCAGCAACCCGGCAAGAAGCATTTTGCATGTGGGCAATGGTCAAAATACCCTTGAAGGAAGATCATACAAGCAGGCCTAAATGTGATCGTGCGGGCCTTTTTTTCTTTTCGTTATGAGGCGGCTCGCAGGGGAAAGCGCATGGTGGTGTTTTAGGTGCAGCATGCGATGACGCGCACGAGGCTCGAAGACCATTGGAACCATTTAACTTATCATGTCAAGAGTTGACAACGATTGGAAGGCTTGTCTTCTCAGCAGAAGTTCCGTGGAATGTTTCAGGCAAGCGCCGGTAGCAGGTGATGAAGCTGAAGATCATTAGACGTGTAGGTGGAGGCCGCTCATAAAGGGGTCCACGGTATTCCTGCGAGGCAGAGGAGCCCGCAGAAACGAAGAACCCAAAGCAGCCAAGGGAATTTTGGCTCTAGGTGGCAGTTCCAAAACACGCTACATGAGTTCTGTATTCTTCTGGACACTTGGTAGTTCTACCTACGCGCAGAAGCAACAGCAGCAGTTGCTGCAACAGGAGTGGCTGAGACAAATAGAAAACGACAACGACTGCCACTGCCGCAGCAACGGCAGGAGGAGGAGCGACATTTCAACAGGCACCGCGCTCTAGACTGTTATGGTCTGTGTAAATGCATAGGCTCACCCCCCTAGATGCATTCATTTTTCAGTTTGCTTTACCGCATGACGGAATCACGGTCAGTTCCAGGAACAAGAATCTTGACGACAGCCCATGTACAGGCCGAGGCCACCTCACTAGTCACCCTTGATATACCGTGATTCTCTAGCTTTAGCGGAAGGTATTTCGAACTGAGGTAACTCCTCGAATTGACTTCCTGCAAGCCTGAAACTTGACTTGCTCAAGGTCGTACCAGCTGCCTAAGGCTGGAGCTAGAAACGGAGTTAGTGCACAGCTTGTCGGACCTTGAGGTATGACTCCAGGATTTTGCCAGGATTCATTTGGCATGGATGATATGTGGCTTGGGCACGGCTGTTCCTTCACCAAGCCAATCCTCACGTCCTGACAGAGTGTTCCTTCCACCAGCAAACTGTTCGTAGCACGAGCAGTGAGGTGGCACAGCTGAGCCCATAGCAACTCCGAGTCGCTTAAATTTTCGACTTTGGAATCTTGTTCCAGGCAGCGAACCGAGACGATTTGATGACCACCGCCTTCATTCCAAAAGATTATGAAGGTGGGTATTTGTGTTTGATTCAGATCCTAGAATAGAGGCTGTAATAACATGTGGCAACAATGTTGGTGCTGACACTGCCCCAGGAGTGGCCATGCAGTGTTAGAGGTGTAGAGTGCTCGGACGTGCTAATGATTGCAAAATAAAATGCTGAGCAGTACGCTTGGCCGCCAATTTGCAGTAGACTCTTGGTTCCCTAGTATTTTACCAGATGCAATATTTATGGGGATGTGTGAACGGACGTTTGGACCCTCATGCCTCAAGCGCCAAGCCTGATCACAAGTTCGAACTCCTGATTCGTATGTGCAGCATGAGCAAGCGGCTGCAGCCTCTCTCATGATGCCACCCTGGATGCCAGCAAGGTCCACTCCGCTTGGTCTTCAGCAAGATGGTAGGTGCAGAGATTGCAAAGGCATGGAAGCATGTCCTGTATCTTGTGAGGGATCCCTCAGAATGTTGCCTTGCTTCTTGAGCATGCATGCATGAGTTGAAGTAGCTTACTGGGCTGCGAACACCTGCTAGCCCAGCCACCACATACCGCGACTCATCTTGGGAAAAACGCAGCGCGTCCGGACTGCTTTGCTGAAGAGCTTGCCAGCTTTGACCAAACCACAATAACTCGTGCTTTGTGATTACGGCAGTCTGTATCTTGCAGCAGGGTGGGGGGAGCACTTGTGGGTGTTGTTTAGTTGCGGGGAATTTCAAGAAATGTCTTGCGCCCCGCCTGGTTTGTGAGTTTTGATTGACACGATATTGCTCGCAACTGGCGGCAGTAAAAAGCACAAGCTTTGCGTTCACATCTACCGTTTTGGCTAACATTTGCTCATTGTTCGGCTTCCAGGCAGATCGATTTCGACAGCCGACGTATGCGCAGAGAACTTTTGACATGAGGTGTCCTCTCTTTCCAGACATCATCACTTGGGCAGGAACACATCTGCCCGCCAGAGGGATGGCATTGGAACGCTAGTGTGACACATGGCAGCACGCGAGAGTCATAGATTTGCATGCCATATGCTATGTCACCACGCAGTGCCCAGTGACACTGAACAAATGCTGTAGAGGCATTGGCTGAGTCTTAACTCAATGACTTGTCAGTTTTGTACGCGGACAAAGCTTTCGGGCAGTGGTGCTTGGATTCCCGAGCGCGTGCTTGCAGAATCGAAGACCTCAAGCTGGCTAACTTTCACAAATGAATCCTTCGGAGGTACAGCTTGGAACACCTTTAGCCAAGGAACACCTTCAATGGAACTTGGACTGCGCCGGACAGCGTGGACATATTTATCCCAACTTAAGTTGTGATGCAGCAAGGATTCTTTGCACTTCCGCTTGCTTTACCTGCTTGCCTTCGGGTGAAGGGAGCTCGTTTATTCATGTTCAGAAGTTCCTACGTACTAGGCGCCAGATCACCGCCAAGCTAACCTGGCAATTGCTGGAACAGTCAGGCCTTCGCCTGGAAGATAATGTTGTATCACTTACACCTGCACAGCCCGCGGTGAACCAACATAAAGTTCATCCCAGAACAAGAGGAGCAGCTCCAGTCCATGCAGGCAAGCTTTTCTCTTGCACAGGACACCCAGGATGTTTTCATCTCTCTGACTCCGGTGGCAGCTTGGCTGCACTTCGTTGCCACTGTACCTGTTGCAGGTGAACCACGTTTGTCCTTGATCTTCATGCAACGTAGAACTGAAGCTTTGCAACCAAGTCTTCCATCATACAGGTGCTAGGCCCTGTTTCAAGAGTATGAGGTGCTGAAACGTGTGTCCAGACCTGATTGTAAAGGTGCACAAAAGAGGAAAGACAAAGGACAATGGCAGTTGTGCCAATTGGCTCTTGGGATGGCGCCGCTGGCAGACCATGCCCCTGTTGCACCCGAAGAAAAGTATTTGGCGCCGAGCACTGACGCGCCATGAAGCGGGTCCAGTTCACCAGATGCTGCGCTTACGAGTGTTGCGCTCTCCCCAAAGGCGGGCTGGAGGCTTTGTGCAGGAGTTGGCAAGCTCTTGGCTTTTGGGTTAAATTGATATCTGAAGAGGGAACCTGTATCCTATACCATGACCCAGGGCTGACGCAGGCGCCCCACCTCCGCACGCGGGTCAGCGCTGGCCTCATCAGAGAAGCGCGGATCTGACGCCCATCCTTTTGCCCAGTTCCAGGGTGTGGAGCAGCCGGAACGGATTGAAAGCCCAGGTTGACATGCACTTGCTGGGGCATTCACATTACCCCGAAATTGACACCTTCAGACTTGATACCGCCCTCCCAGGGTCCAGGCCACCTGCCAGCACTGGTAGGGATGCTGCTGCAATTGCTGCCTGGTGGTTATGCAGAACACCCGTCTGGACGCTTGGGCGCATTGTGGCCAGCCAACTGGCCAAGCACCAGTGTATGCAGAACATCCTGGAATCCTGGCCATTCCTGGGCAGCCGCCTGGACCTGCGAGCATCGGTTAACTGAACCTGTTCTCAGAGGTCTCAGCCACCGACTCCTCATAGCGATGCTTAGCGATGCTCAGTGGTTGCAGCAAGCTCGGGAGGAGGCCTTTTGACATGCAAAGCGCGGCTTGTCAGGGCAGCCGGCCGAACAACTGGGGTGGCTCTCTAGTCACTAATCTGCCGAAGCAGTGGTGAAAGATGTCTTCTGCTTCAAGCGAGGTGCGCTCCCTGGGCCCAGCAGTTTGCACCCTATAGATTCTTGAGGTGCTTGCAGGCGATGCCAGCAGGCCTGTCTGCATGTTTGGCGACTGGTTTGGTCAACCCCTTGGCGGATGGACGAAGCCCCCGCTCAAATGAAGGTGTACGTTGTGGGAGTGCGAGGGACTGCCTTGCACGAGGGCCCGAAAACTGGAGCAAAGTGTCCTCCTACCCGGGACCTACCCGCTGAGCTCCACACATTCCGCGAGCACCTCCAGCCCTACCACTTCGCGATTGGCGGCACTCCGCACTTTGGCCAGACACTGGCAGGCTGTCAATGCCGACGACCTCTCGTGCTCTTCTGTCCCTCGGCAAGCGGAATACTCACGATGAGATCGAACGCCACACCTTCCTGGATCTGATTCGCGCAGCTGCGCCATTTGTCTTGTGGGCTTGAGCCCATCCCACCTCCAGGACCGCTGATGGGGGCTTGCCAAGCTGTCGTCCAGCGACCACGATCGTTGTCCCTGTGGTGCACACCGCCACCATGTTGGACTTCAAAACTTTGCGGAGGTTTGTGGGGATGGCTTCCTACCACCTTGCCGCTGCCAATGCTTTCCAGTGTCTCTCACCCACGTTCACCTGAGCAACATCCAGGGCCAAGGATAAATAGTGGCTGGTGCCGACCAAGCCATGAGGGAGACGAGCAAGTAGACTGCAGGAACGCTATCCAAGACGGCCGCAGGTCCTGGAGCAGCTCTGCTTTGACTATCCACCGCCACTGCCGAACGGTGGCGCACGGTGAGCTGGTTTGGTTCGCCAGGTGCTGCCAGCTAGAAGTTTTGGGCAACTATTCCCGGCAATCCGCGGCCTACTTGGAGGGTTTTGCGGGCAATTGTTCGCTGGATGGGGGGTTGGCGTATGTTGGCGTGTGGTTTTTCGTGTGTCCTTAAGCCCGAAATTGGGTGCCTGACCGGGCCATCCCAGTGACGAAGCAGGCAACCTTGTGATGGCTTGATGTGTGAGATCTTCCTATTGGCGGCATCCCTGGCTTGTACTGTAGTGTGCTCTCTTCGTGAAGATCTTGCCGATCTCCTAGAGGTGTTCGGAGAAAAAGTAGAAGGTTCACCCGAACAGGTTTGCTGAAACACAACGTATGCGTAGCAGAGGTGGCAGAGGTTCCGATGCAGCCAACAGCCCCACCCGACCACCGTGGGCACAGCCAGTCGCACCACGGTGGCATCCTGTGGCAGTTCAGTTTGAGAATAAGCTGATGATCCTAGTTCGCATCAAGAAGAGCACATTGAGCGCCCGAAGCCTCTAGCAGCTGCAACAGTCTTCGTGTTCAAGTCGATTGAGCATCTAATGACATCGTGGCCAGCGGGCAAGTGCTGGAACGCTCGCTTTGATTAACTGCTGTTGTAGTAGTTACAAGGCTAGCTATAGATGATTCTTGAACCTAAGAGACATTATCACAAAAACATTGTCAGCGATCGGCTGGCTTTGTTCCATAGGGTTCATGCAGTATGCACATGCAATAGGTGTTTCACAGTCTCTTGTACGGTCTCGCGGCATTGACATCTGCGGCGTTGAGAAGTGTAGTAACGTCGTAGCGCTTGAACATGTTGGCCATACACTTGGTCAAGTCAAGTGGGAACTGCAGGAAAGAAAAGTTTCCGCGCCTGGACAGCATGTCATCCTGTTTGAGACGTGCTTTGAGGATGATTGCCTGAAACCTTTTCGCACCCCAAGCTCATGAATCCCCGAGAGCAGCAACGTCCACATGGCTTAATGGTATATATATGTGTTAACGGATCAAAGTGCGAGGCATTCCGCAAGGACGCATAGGTCAGAAGCAGCAAGACGAACTCAAGAAGCATGAAGTAGTTCGCCAAGGATTGTGGCTGCAGTCGTGGTCGTTGTGTTTGCAGGCGATGGGGTGCCTACCTTCAGACAAATGACTCTATGCCGTGTACGCTGAAGGCTGCAGTAGGCTTGTGACGAATCCACAGGTAAACTTACAGCCTGCAGGTGGCCTTACGCTTGCAAGCAATACTTGGATCAGCGTTGTGACTTTTTTGTCCAAACCATCTCACACTATCTCACCACTTTCATAGCCTCTCTAGGCGAATGCAGGAGTCTTTGCAGTCGAGGCTTAGCTTCTCTATGCCTTAACCAAACTGAACGCACAGTTCTTTGCTGCATCTGCGCCTTCTTCTTCTGCTGCGACTCTGATGATGACGACAGGGGGAGGCAGTCGAAGTTGCTTGATATTCATGTCTCTGAGCCTTCCTGTCAACTTGCTACTGTATCATAAGTCGGGGTCTCCTTGTACTTCTGCATGCTCTGACCACAAAGCGTTCTCCAGATTGAGAGGGCCTTTAAGATGCTTTCGGGCAGGCCTGAGAAGAAGCAAGAGTGCGCAAAGCTAGGCTTCAACGGGTCTTCCTTCAGTGTACCGGGCAAAGGGCAAAAAGACATTAGCACGCAGTCTGAGGAGGAAATTGCAGCCGCGTTCAGCGTGAGAGCCAGCAATTTTCTTCGAGAGCGTATTATGATTACAGGACATTATACACACGCATGAACTTAGAGACCCGGCTGTGTCCTGGGCCAAACTTTAGCATCTCCGTGCTCCAGGAGACGCTCCACGTACGGTCGGCGAAGGTCTAGCTACGATGAGTTTGAGCCCTCCGTCGTGAGCATTGTGGGTCAGATCATGTAAGCAATGCTGCCTGTAGCGAAGGCTGCGCTTTGTGCTTCAGCTTGTTGATAGTTGTTGGTTGCAGGGTTGTTAAGATGGCTGAATTAAACGCTGTACTCCTAGCAAACGGCTGATATGCGCAGTACGGTGAGTAGGCATGGCAATTTTATACAGTTTTTTGAGCTGGTAACCAGGACGAAGCACGCGCAGGCAGAATACTCTTAGCCTCAGGCCTGGGGGCACGCCAGGCTTCAGTTGCAGAAACATTGCGTAGTCGCGGCATGTACCGTGCTGTTGGTGCTCCGAGGATGCAAGGTTTCCGGACCACCGCCACACCCTACGTGCCACCAGCGCCGATGATCACTCCGACGCTAGACTGCCAACGCACCAAGGTTGACAGTGTTTGACAGGCCCTGCGCTCGAAAGTTCTGGAGAAGCCTCGACTGGATTTTGCAGGGGTTTGCTGGCTTTTTTTACGATGTCCGGTGAGCTGAGGGATCATGGAAAGTAATGTCTGGCTCAGATTAGATACCATTGTCGTGCGCTGGCCGGGAAGGGATCCCCACACCTGAGCAAAGAGAAGAATGCTGATTCGTTAGCCGCAGCAGAATTGCCTAAGACAGAAGGCGACATCACTCCCAGGCTCCCGCAAAACCGCCCAAATCATTCGTTGCAGATCTGAGGGGCGTCGTGCCTGCTATGGCGACTCCAGTCGCTGTGCCAGCCATGGCAGCTGTCGCTGCAGGGCCTGCTGTGGCCATGGCAGCGTCCCTTGGGCCAGAGAATCCTCCAAATATCCAGAGCTTTGATGACATACGGTCGATTGTTGGGTAAAGAGCGAGGAAAGGCAGGCATGGATAGGTGTATTTTATATATATATATATATACATATATGTGCATAGAGTCACCCTCCCATGACATGCACGCCCTTATAGTTGTGTAAAAACTGTCTTTCGACATGCAATTGTCAACTGTTTTCCATAGACTTCAGGAGTTCTGTAATACAATCTGCGCGCAAAAGCCTAAAGCTCTGGGAAACACGGGCTTTTGCATATGTTCCTGCTTTCTCACGCTGGTAAGGGGAACAGCGCAAAGGAAGTAACAGCGGGGGGCCTTCATTTAATGTCGTTTGGGACACCTCCCCCCCTGAACCTTCGACTGAGGGCCCCTGCTTCGTCATGCTTCATCTAAGGCTCGTGGAAAGTTGCCTTGGTAACCAATTTTTGCCCCAACAGAAGACTATTGATGGCCTCGGTTTGCAAACACCTTGTGGCCCTTTGACTAAGTTGATCAAAGCCCCTTTGCCTTAGACTAACTTTGTCTTGGCATCGTGGCTGCTGGCCTCTATACTCACCTCAGGTCTTTCCTGCAAAGCACTGTCGTTTTAGGTTGGTTTCGCGTACGAACAGCCCAAATCCTCGAAAAATAGACTTTTCTTCACATGCTTAAGTAAAACATGAATAATACATGACTTCTGTACATTTTCCTGGAGGATCCAGGCTAGAAATCCTTGTTTTGCAATTATATACCAGCCCGGGCTTTTGATTTTTGCATCTCAGGGTGTCTCCAATTTCCCATCTGGAACAAACTTTGCGACCTTCGCGCAAAGGTTGCACTTGAAGAGTTTTGTGAAACTGCACGGTTGTCGTACTAGCCAGAAGAGAGGGCCAAGCAAAAGCTTTGAAGAGGAAGAAACCTAGGTTTGGCTTGTCAAATGAGGCAGCTGAAAAATAAATGTGTAATGAGAAGCATGCTATTGGAAATCTGCCAGAAGCAATGCTCCTTCTGGGCTAATTTCTGTAGGTGCTCAATGAAAATGCTTTTCTTCCAATTCCGCCTGGAGCAGACAGGCCTTTTCCCATGAAACTAACGGATTGAACGAACAGCATGGCGCAACACACCGAGCGATTCCAGATGGATATCTTGAGAGCACAGCGAGAATGCACTAAGTACAGCCTTTGCGTGCAAGCCGCAAAGTGTAGGCCGCGACACCCAGGAACGGCATGAAGGTTAAGACGGTCTGCGCAATCAATCCGCCTCGGACCAGAATCAACCTACCAGCGGAGGGAAATATTTTTTATCTATAGAGTCTCTAGTTAGTTTGTTTTGGTCCGTGGCTGTGCTTTCATGCTTTTGGGTCGTTCAGGACGCTGGAAGGGTGAGTAAGAGGTATAGATGATAAGTCATTTTCTAGAGGAAATCATACAAGCGCCTAAAGGCCCAGACCAAACTCAACTCAGGCTCGGAGTCTAAGCTTTGGGAGTCGGGACCCGTCCTACAAAACCAAAACATGTGAGACTTACCGGTAGGTTTGAGTCTCTTATCTACAATCTGCAGCAGTTGCAATTTCAAATCGGGTGGGCAACCGTCGAAATCCTAGGAACCCATCTGAGGCGAAAGCATCCATCTTCAAAAACTTGGCAAAGAAGACCAGCAGTACATGCGTCTTAGTATTTTGAGGCGCTGCTTCGTTCTACCCAGTCTGACATATTCCTGCAACTAAGTGGTTCCCCAGGCAGAAGCTGTCTTCATCAGTGGTCCGGACCTCGGCTTTGGCATTCTGCTATTGCAATATTTGCTCCACTCATAAGTAAGGCGAATTGCCTTGCAGGCCAAGTCAAAGCCGCAAGGGAGTTTAAAGAGCCAACGAATGAATCAACATGGGTCCATGGGTCGAGAACTTAGCAAAGCTTTAAGTAAAGTAAGTCAGACTTCGCGCTTACCTGCCCTGAGAAGAAGCTCCTCTTGGATAAGATGCGGCTGCTGGGCAAGATGACATTGCCTGGCATTGTGAGGCCTGGTAGGCGGAACAGTACGCCCTACGCTTCGAATTTGAGCTCAGCCTAGAGGATTATCGAAGCTGGGATCCGCGCAAGTTGCGATTTGTACAGGTATTGAATTCGATCTTTTGCCGGAGATTTTGGCTAGCTGCGATAAGAAGCTGCCAAACCTCCTGGGATACGTGAATCCTTGCTTTAAAGCGGCTCGAAGTCTCACCAAGTTTTTCTGTCTTGACTGCCAGTGCATATGCCTAGCCGATGAGCGGGCTATTTTCCTGACAGGTGAGTTTCGCGGTCATTTTTTCCAAGCAGTTTTCCGCGCAGAGGATGAAAAGGAGTTGACCGAACTACCAGCCGCGATAGGCAGCGTGCATGGGGCATCGGGGGTTTGGATTCAATGTTGTTCTGAGCATCAGTACGAGGTACAGGCTAGATGTGCAGTGCTAGGGGGCCAGGATGCAGGATCCGGCCTCAAGTCTCACTTCTGGGGTGGTAGCGCCGGTGCGGGGGTTGAGGGCTCCCACTTGTCTCCAGACTTCTTGAATGGCACGATCCCACCAAGACATGCAGGTTTGCTGACGGCAGGCACTGTGGCTCGATCCTGCGGATCCTTCACACATGCTAGATTTGTTTTGAGCTGATTATGGTGCCTGAGGCGCTCGCAAGTACTCCTACAGGTGCTTTGGGCCAGGGTTCCGATCCAAGCTCTGTCCGTGCAGGTGTCGAAGAACAGCCGCAAAAAAAACTTCACGTGCATCACGACCTCGCGACCGGCAGAGCGACTCCAGCCCGCGCCTTAGCATGGAGCCCAGGACTTCGTGTTCTTGGAAATGTGTGCTTCAGGAGTGGCATCCCTGCACTCCTGCTCACTCCTCCGCCCTGGAAAGTCATCGGCATCACATGTCACTGTCCGGCGCCATTTTTGAGCCGAGAGCCAGCCCGTCCTTTGGAGTGGTTTAAGCAGGCTCGGCTTCTCCAATATTTGGAAGCGCTTGTACTTGTGGGAGGTAAACCTGGACGGATGAAAGTGAGCACGTTTGCCCCCCAGGGTGAGGGCGGGATAATTCAATCTTACGTGGAAAATTGAGAGGGCTTATTTGCAAAAGTTGCAGATCCGTAGGGGTAAAGGTGACATGGCTTCACCGCAGAAGTTGAGAAGTCCAGGGCTGAGGATGGGATAGTCTTACCGAGAGTCTGACCACAAAAGTGGAAAAATGACAGGTACAGATTTCTGGCTTTGGGATTCCTTGGCTGGTACCCTTGCTAGTTTTTTAGTGATTAACATATGGCGTTCCAGGCCCGGACTCGAGAGCGCTGAGAGAGAGAGAGATTCAGGAAGCGGTGGAACTTTCAATGAGTTGCAAGCAAAACTATATATATATATGAAATCCGGAGCTACACAGACGTCAGATCGAATTAAGGATATTTGAGGAAAGCTTACGTCTTGTTATTAGGTAAAAACCTTTGACTCGGCGTAGAGAAAGCTTAAGCATCTTCAAGGATGGGGCTCAACTCCCACTTGAAGTTGAAGAAATCTAATTTGATATAGGCTCCGTTTAGACTCAAGGACTTTCCACTTCTTGGTGAAGTGGTTAAGCCAAGGCCGAAGTAACCTATACCAGCCTGTCATATAGCTCTAAAGGCATACACGAATTAAGGGTATCTTTCACCAAAGATTCACTATGGGATATAAGAGCTTTCAAAATTGAGCAGACTTCCTAACTAACTCAGCCAAATTGGCCCTCAAACATGAAGGACCTCATATGGGGGCCATTCTTTTTGGGCATCGTTCATAAGATAATCTGGGGTGCGCTTGCGAATGTTGAAGGGACACGCCAAAAATGTTTAAACAAAAATGGTGTCCGTACGGACTCACGCCAGGGCGACACAGCCTCGTGCGCAACGGTCGAGTCATGTTACTGCGTGTTTCGATTTGATTTTGCTAAAAACCTGCCGGTTCAAGTTGTTTCAAGAACCGCGCAAGGGCGAAGCGCAAGCATTCCTACTAGCAAACGTAAAATACAATCAACAAGAACAACCCACATAAGCAGTGGAGTTCCCCATCAAAACTTCAAGGATTTTCACTCCACCTTTTCTAGACTGAAGCAGACTTCACTATTTGATCAGGGTGTTCGTCAGGTTGGCAGTCCGTAGTTTTTGTTTTCATACAGAATAAGCCACATTCCAAGAAATAGTTGGTTTCCCCATCAAGCTTGTAAACATTCTACAGACAAGTCAGCAGGTTTCAACGGAACTCAACTGTAGGTTTTCAAGTGGGATTGATACAAAAACAAACAAAGTAGGACTTGTGAAGAACTAGGACATTGCACTAGATTGGGCTGTAGAACAGCAGAATTTGAACATTTGCAATTGTCCCGTAAAAAACCATTGTTCTTACCAAGGTCATTGAAGAAGGAAGTGATCACGAAGCATTGGCAGGGCAGATAAATTCAAGCACAGACGACTAATAAGCATACCCCTCCCTCAATTCCTTGGAAATTGTGACACATGTTGGCTTAATGTTTTCTGAAGGTGTATTGCAAAAGCATTGCATGAGGATAGCGAGTCTCCAAAATCATTGGCATTGATTTTACCCATGCTTTCGGAGCTGGAGCTTGCAAAAGCATTGGTCTTATTTTTGGGTTGAGGGCAGGGACCCTTGAAGATTGGCAAGGCCAATTTTATCCAATTTTGATTTCCCAGGCTACTTTCCAATATTTTCTGAGGGTGGACTACAAGCCTAGGAAAACACGACTTTCTGAGAGGCTTTGCAACAATGTTGTTTCCCAATGTTCTGCCAGGGCCCACAAATCTATGAATTCCGAGCATGGCTTTTCCCTCCAGCTAGCTCTAGACGTCATGGGCCCTACGGATTTTATGAGAACCTTACACAACCAGATTCTTGCCTGGCTTAGTCAGGCAAACTAATGCACTAATCTGTCCGTTTGGTCCGCCAGAACAAACAGTTACAGAACATCAACTCGGTCGGTTTATCTGATTAATCATCTAGACATCTAATCGTAGACATCTAATCGCCTACTTTATCGAATTATTTGGTGCATTACTATGCTTTCATTGTATTCGTGCCTGAAGCCCTTAATCAAAGTAGCCTGATTGAATGCTTAACTCTGTAAATGATGGCCCTACTGGTAGTGAATGGTAAATCTGAAGGCCTGAAATCCAAATGGCAAGACTATATGTTAATATGATCTGTAAAAGGGATACTAATACTAATAACAAATTAGGCGGGTGCTTGAAAGGGAGTGGGGGCTTCATGAGAAGCAAGTACAAAGGGAGAGGGATTTCCTGGGGAATGTTTTTCAGGATTTGTATTTGAGATGGGAAAGGAATCTAAAGGGGGGCTTGCTTGACGGTTAGCGTTTCTTTGATAGAGTTGGATCTGTTAGTCCAATATTGCATGAAGTGGGCAGTTGGAGTGGAGGTCATGACGAATTACTTGTATGCTTTGCATCTTCCAAGTGAGCTGGCTAGATTCGTCATATTCATCGTTCAAGCGAACCACCAGACAAATTGATAGGGGTAAAGCAAAAAAGCGGCTTGACTAGATGGGTTGAGTTCGTCTGAACAAATGCGGACGCCGAGGCCAGAAACCAGTCTACTTAGTCGAAATGCTCGGTATCCAGAACCATCCATTCTATCCAGCCCGCGTGGCTGATTCTTTTGCAAGATCTGTTGTAATTGGACGAATTACATGTATGACAAAAACAGCTGCCATAGCAAAGACTTCCCATGTTGGCTCTTGGGGGAGTGGTCAGCGCAACAAACTTGAAACTGCGTTCACAGCATCTGCAACTTTTTCAAGAAAGATAGATTGACACGAAAGTCAGTTTTTGACGCGCATCATGGTGTGCACACTTTTTCTGATCGTTCCCCAGGTCGAGGTTGTCGGCCACTAGATTAATCCTGTCAATGGTAAGCCCTTGCAATGTAATTCTCCACTTTCAGCTCAACACTAGTCCTTAGGGCCGTGCCTGCAGTTGGCACTGCAGTCGCAGCGCCGCCTCTCGGCCACAAGATATTCAAGAGGGCCAGCATTCGCATGAAGCGCCCAAGTTAGTACCTGAAGCCCATCCTGCATGCAGCATATCAGTGAGGCGCATCTAATTCGCAGTGGTTCCACTCAGGCACTGCCTGTTGTCACAGGATGTGGCATCATGTGTTGAGGCTGTCAGGCATAAAAAGGCGACAGCTTTACATAGCTTGCTAGGCCTCTAGGCGGTCTTGGTGTCTTGCCTGAGGATTCCACCAGTTCTCGCAGCACCGGCTGCTTGGATCGGGCGCATTTGTACGCATGTCTTGCCTGACAGGAGCTAACGCTATAATAAAGAGCACTAGTGGGAATAGCGGTGCAAACGGGAACCCTGTATTCTGGCGCCCAGGCAGCAAAGACCTGCCACCAGATGCATCCCATGCATCCGGCTGTGGCGCAATCAGGGTGGCTTTGGTGCAGTTGAAGTATGTTGACCGACATGCCCTTCCAGCTGCTGGAAGGATGAACGGGCTTTGCAGGCGGGATCTGCGTAAGTCTGCAGCCCCAGGATGGAGTGTGATGAATGCGAGCGCGAACTCAGACACGGCGAGCAGGTCTTGAGATGCGCCACTTGGCGGCTAATTGCATTGGAGCTCTTAAATCTGACTCTGCATGGTGTTTGTGAGCTGAGTCTTTTCAGCCTGGCGGATTGTGACTCAAATGGTTTGGAAGGGCTGTAGCATGCTGCAGCCTGTCGTTTAAATCGCCGAAATTTTGCGTCCACATTATGGTTAGAACCGGCCAGCATTATGGAACTGTTTTGGAAAGTGGATCAAGACTGGGTGCTGATCCTCTTCTCGTGTAGCGTGAGTCCTGTTTTGACGTAGGCTACGTTTGCTTGTTGCCCTTGCCTGTGTCTGCTCTCTACAAATTTGGCGGCTTCAGTGATGGAGGTGTTTTGGAGCAGGTAAGACCTGAACCAAGGATGCATGCGACTATGACCTTTGTATGGCGGCCTGTGCGAGGCACTGCTTCTGCATTCTGGGTTCTAATAAGTGGGCTGTCAAGCCTGAACGTCTTGCCCCCCAAGCACTGTGCCTCGGTACGTAGACTGACTTTTTGTTGGTTTTTTTGAAAGCCATGGAGTGGCAAAACCGCTAGAAGATGCCAACTGGATGGCTGCACAAGGATTGAGCTGTGAGGTGGTTGTATGCCAGATCTCGTCAAGTCATTAAGAACACCATCGGACTATCAGCAGAGATCCTTCGGACAGGCAGACGACCTTCTTGGAAGGCGTCTCCTCAACAGGCTTGGCTGGAAAGAACGGGATGTAGAGTCACTACTTCTCAGGAACTAGACCATTTGGAATCATGTCTACTGTATCTCAAATCTGCTTGGGGGTGGGTTCTACCGCCGAAGTCATGTTCACCCACCACGGTAGGAGCCCTTCACACGCAATCCGTGTTATCAGGGAGTCTGTGCCTACCCTGACCCAAAGATTCTCCATCCCCAATTAGGCCTGAACAAGCCCAACCAATCCTTGGTTAGACCTTAATTGGGCCGCGGGTCTCATTTGCGAAGGTAAATGCCAGGGTTGGTGCAGCCAAGAATCTACCAATTTGATGTGGCGCACCTTGATGAGCTCTGCAAGCCCGCAGAAGGCCAAACATGGAAGATGCAGCTGGCCTGCGCTGCGCCAGCAGTGCCTCTGCTAAAGGATTTGATCGTTACAGGCACTGTCATGCTACTGCATGGCTTAGCATCAGGTAGCGTGTTTCCGTAGCTAGACCTCAGGTGTCAATTCTGCACACTTGTTTTCGTTGTTATAGGCTACAGCTTGCAGTTTCGCCGAAAAAGCAAAGCCTTGCCTTTGGGAGGCGGTTTGTTGATATGTTTTGTTGTTGAGGTTTTGCTGTTATTGTGGCATTGGCGGCGGTGGTGGTGTTGGTAATGATGAAGAGCGCTTTTGCATTAGCAAGATGTCCTACTGTACACGACCATCTAGGCATTACCTGCGGGCAGCTCAGAGACATGCTAGATCATGCTAGCCTGCTAAAACAGAGCTGTCAGAACTTGAGTTGCACATCAAACCTGCTGCAGCAGTGCAGCTTGACGGAGCAGGGCCAAGGACATTGAGAGCAAGTCATGCAGTCTCTCCTCCCAAAAAGTTCAAACCCGCATAGTGCCACATGAACCTACTCCGCTAGAACAACCAGAAGTTTAAAATCGAATTCGAAGCTGTCCATGGTGGACGCCCAGCCTGCACAGCCCAGCCACCCAGGGAAGCCCAGGGCTAGTTTCTTCAAAACTTTGTGAATGCCTTCTTTTGGCTAATCATGTTGTGCTATTCAATTTCGATCATCCGCATGAAGAGGAGAAGCATATGTGTCTTAGGCTGGCACGTTTGGTTTAGGTACAGAACATTCTGGGGATTGAGCAGGGACCACGTGAACTGGCAAGAGCTCAAAAAGCTGCCCTCAGTTGGACACCTCTGGACTACTCTGCGGGCCGTGGGGCGAGGCCTTACGGGCGGCGGAGTCTTGGGTGAGCAAGAAGTTTTTTTTGTAAAATATGAAGGGTCCCATGACATCCTGCCGCAAAGGTTTGGCAACCATTCCAATAAAACTTGACAAAGGCTTCTTCAATGCTTTCTATTGATCCTTGGTATACGTCCTCCAGTCATCCTAGAAGGAATCCAAATCTGTTTTTCCATAGACTCCCATGAATCCTGTCAGGGTTTCCAGCCGCTGAGAGTTTCCCATGCTGGTTCAGGCTGAAGATTCAGCTCTGCAATGTCCGCGAACATGATCACAAAATGAAACGCTGAAGAGTACAAGGGGCAGCATGCCCTGGCCACTTCCAGTCAAAAGTATGACCCGGAACCAACCAAGCACCAATAATCAAAACAGTCACGAGCACAGCAGCGTGCAAGCCGAGTAGACCAAAACGCAAGTTCTGCGAGGAATGCCAGATGATTGTGCAAGTGTTGATTTTTTTGCTGTGTGGTGTAATCCATTACATTATGACACTGAATCGTTCCGTGCCAAGCGGCCAGAGACCAAAGCCAAACAGACAAAGCTTTCCCGCAATTTTGAACCTTTGTGGTTTGTTGCTCGAATATTGTTGGTTTTCTAGAAAGTTCAACGCACTGACGAAATGTTCTGGTAAACTCTTCTGCCAGTCCTTTTGGAAGAGTGGTTGCATATGACCTGCATGTCCAGCCATTCTAGAAAGAAGCTCATACCTGACGCGGCATCGGCAAGTGCAAGACTTGTAGAAAAGAGCAGGTCAAGCATGTTACATGTTTGCTTGATGGGCATCTCCTAGAGGTGCTCTACGAGCTACAAAACACAGGGTGGAGTCGGGAGCCACGCTTCGCAAGCACTGGCCCTGTTGGTCAGGCACCGGTTGAGTCTCTCTAGTAGAACAACAGACAAAATCTGTGGGAGACATACTGCATATGTAAAGCTACCCGCCGAAGAAGCTTAACAAGGCTTTGCGAGCGATTCCTGGTATCAACCACAGCAGAAGCAGCACTTCTGCTGTTGTGCAGGTGATCGAGTTTCTGGCAGCCCGCGGATTCTGGCTCTTTTCTTGGAGTTTGGGAGGTTTGTTGTTGGCCAAATAGCTCTTGATAGGGACAGCTGCTTCTCAAGATGCACCTCCGCGATGCGGCATGACAGCGCTCACCGAAGTGGTGTAAGGCCTTCGTTAGGGTACCTCGTTTTCGGTTTGCCAAGTTCTCATAAAGGAAAGGCCAGATGCCGTGTGGGAGACATTATCCAGGGCCCATGGCAGACAGTCCATAACATTGAAACCTACACTGACCTACACCACTATTGCGTCCTAGTATTAAAAACCCACCCTAATATTAGATAATAAGTTCAGGGGCCTAACAATCTTGAAGATGATTTTGAAAAGGGGAAGACTACGTCTAGACTGATGAATTTTGGGAGGTTGAGGTCATTAGGTGGGGAGTATAACAAGAAATACGGTGGAATGAGGGATCCCCTTGATATGCTAGGTTTCGATTGGTTTTCCTATAGGGTTTTTAAACGGCGATCATTCAAAATCATTGAAGGTCGATTTTTATGTCTTTTTGCGTCGCATATTTAATTTCATTGTATTAGATTTCAGTTGGATCTAAATCAGATCTCAATTGATTCTGATTCGATTTCAAAAGATTTCAATTGGCTTTATTAGATAAACTTAAAGTCTTCAATTGGACTTTTCCCCAAATTATCATATTGTGTTTTGGTTCGATTTCAATTGCTGTATTTTGGTTTTTAATCCAAGTTCAACTGATTTTGAATGGAATTCTAATATTGTTAGATTCTAATTAATCTTAAAAGGCTTGAATGGAGCTCTAATTAGATTCTAGTTGATCTTAAGTGGCTTGAATGGATGTAACTTTGATTTCAGTGGGTTTTAATTGGATGTTCAGTCGGTTTCAATTACACTTAATTTGTTTCAATTCCAGAGTTGGATTCCATTTGATTTAAATAGATGCAAATTCGATTTCAATTGGTTTTATTTGGATCTTAATTCGGCTTCAGCTAATTTAATAAGATTTCCATTTGTTTGTCATTAAGTTTCAGTAGACAAGTTTCGAAGGGCTTTCCAAAGGGCCGTTAGAGGCAGCCCTATCTGATGCTTTCAATACATATCACCCCTTTCCCCCCACCCCCCCTCCCAATATTCAATTTTTTTCCGGCACCAGATCATTCAATATTACGGGGGGAAGGGGGGGGGGGACATCGTTCAATGTTAGGGGGAAGCGATTATGCGTGCTGAGTCAGGATACGAGTCATTCGCTGCTGGGCTGCATTTCGCCTCGCTCAGGAGCAAGCACTCCCCAAATCCCTGAATTATGCACCAAAGCCTTCATCAGTGGTGATGCAGAAGGAACGGGCTTCCCAAAGCACCCTTGATCTCTAGTTGGGCCCTGAAATCCTGGTCACCGTTCAGAGCACAATTCGTTCAGACATGGTGTGTATTGTAATGCTCCCATGGTGAGGTGGCCACTGCTGAGCACATGGAGGATTGCCTGAAGCAGAACCCTGGCTTGTGTCTGGGATTCATTAATCCATGATTTTGACCGTGGTTTACGGATTCTGGCTTTGTGCGGGTCTGTGGCCCTGTGCTCCAAGCAAACTCCCGCGAATGTCCTTGACAAAATGGTGCCCGTGCTTGAGGATAACGTCGGGCAAGCTCAGTCATCATGAGCTCTTGTCCCATGCTTGGACACAGAGGTGGCTGGTCATTCTAGCTGTAAACGCCGAAGCAGGAACCAGGAGGGCATAACGGGAACTTGGTAACAGGCACCAGCTGGAAACATGTAACAGGAATCGCCGGGTCTGTGACAGGAACCAGCCTGTCCCGTCATGCCCTGGCCGGTTCAGATTACAGCCTTCACCCGTCATTCTAGTGGCATGCATGGCCGTGGGGGGGTCACTATTGCAGATGCTGCCAAGCAATCTCCACTTCACATTGGATGTCCCTCATTGTGGGAGCCATCCCTACACGCTGTTTGCATGGAACTCAAGCCTTGAGGGCAGCATCGACGCGCAAGAGCAGGATTTGGGATCTTTCGGCCGGGCATCAGCTGCACAGCTTGCGCAGCACCAGCACATGGGTCATGCGAAGAGCGGTGAGCGTGAATGCTTGACAGTAACCCTCACACGTGGTGGGAAGTTGGGTGGGCCCATTCGTCACAGCAATTCACAAGAATTCACCCTTGAGTTGGCGCCACATTGCAAAAGCGCGTCTGAATGAATTTGTCTGATGCTTTCCGAGAGCATGCTGAGCAAGCACGCCATGAGACAGAACGAGATGCATGTGTGTGTGTGTCTATGCATTCCCACATGTACACTTGTCTGTGTGTAGCCTCTCATCAACATTTACCATTTTCGGAGCGACGATTCGAGGAATACCGTAGCAGCAGCATGGTCGTCGTCGTCGTCGAAAGCAGTCGTTCTGAAAGACATGGCCAGCCCCAAACTGCCCAAAGCACCGAGGCTCTCGGCGCATGCTCCGACGGCAGTCGTCCAGGCTGTCCAACAAGCGTCGTTGTTCCGGGATCTTCTGAGGTGCAGATGCGTTGCGATCAACTCCCATATTTCAGAGTATCCTCATATGTAACAACCAATTCGTGTGCCGCCTGCAAGCAAGGAAGCATACCTTTCGGAACGGTGGACTTCCCCAGTGGGACAAGGATTGGGGCCTGGAAGGAAACAAATAGGTGGACAGGATTATTCCATGATATGGCTTGCGCAGACCATTTGCGCTAGTTATCTTTCGTGTTTTGGATTCAGCTCTTCCCAAGCCACTTCCAAGCATGAAAGATTGGAATCAGCTGCAAAGCTTGGCTCAGTGCGCAAAACTTCTAACTACCCCTATCTGGGCCCTATCTTGGGCGAAACGATGATGGTGAGTTGGTGCACCTGCAGCAAGCGAAAATAATCCCTTGGTGCGATAGCTGCGGAAGCCTTCCCCAAACCCATGGCGAGGCCCAACAAAAAAGCACATGTGTGTGCCTGCTTAGTTGAGAAGTTGAAGCCTGAAGCCCTTCAGTCCAAGTGTAGCTGTATTGCTGTTTGAGGTCATAGCAAGGCACACCGGATGTGGTGCACGCACCACCGTAAAGTCTTCGCGAGATGTAGTTGGCCAAAGAGCGCACGGTATGATTGCTTCGCTTGTAGGGAAATAGAATGCGTGTGTTGCGCGAGACGTTTCAGAACATTTTGAAGGAGCCGGACCCCCGAAAACCGTCTCAGGCACTTGCTTCCGCGCTGATGCCTCGGCACTGCCAATCAGCATGACGGAAGCTTCTGTTCAGAGCTATGGTCTCTTGAGGACTTGAGTCCCATCCGTGATAGAGGGTTTTCTTATGAGTTGATGCTTCCTGCATGGTTGCTGAGCCCCGATGTAATGTACGTATATGTACATGCTTCTCAGAGTGAGCGTCATTTGAACAAAGGCGGGGTGGACGGTGTTTTCTTGGCCAGCCGTCCGTAAGGCTTTCATGTGGCAGCTGCTCTCATGTTCGTAGGCTGCTCCTTCTGCTCCGTGTTGGCTCAAGGCTGATGCTAGCTGATCGTAGCTGCTCGTGAAGCTTAGGGTGCAAGGGTGGTCCCTTCCCCCTAAGCCCCAACCTGGTTCCTCATTGAATTACCTGTTGGCCCTGCATGGCTGCTATCTGTAGTGGAAGCAGTCGTCAAAGATGAAGCCCAACCTGAACCTTAAACTTCAAGTTTTGTTGAGGCTTAATGTCAATTCAGCCCTGCCGAGTCTCAACAATCACTGATGAAATCTTGCGGGGGCAATGCCTGTGAGGGCACGTCTCTTAGGAGAGATGTGTGATTGAACATGTTGACGCACGGGTAAGCTCAGAACGCTAATGTCAGCTGGATCTCTGGGATTTTGATGTATCAAAATTATGAATTCAGGTCCCAACACCTCAGCCAGGTTTTGCAATTGATGACTACGCGCTTCATATCCTGTCCTTCAGTTCTTCAGAACCCCTTTTCTTGTTGTAGCCTAAGCTTTCCGTCTAACACTTGTCCAATGGTAGCCGCAGAATGACAGGTTGGCAAGTTAGTTGAGTTGCCTAGAAACTCCCGTAGTTGAAAAGCCGAAAAAGTTGGAATTTGAGAAGACTGTCCAGCATTGGAGTTCCAGGTCATGTAGGCGGCGTAAGTGCCAGTCTGTGCCGTAAATTATTGGCGGAGACCTGATGGCACCCGTGGCGATGCCAGCCGTCAAAGCCTCAAGACATCCCTGGCCACCAGCACCCTGAGCGACTGTTTGATTCTGTGTTTTGAGCGACGCTTCCTCCAAGGTATTGCTTAAACCACGATAGGAACAAGAGGCACTTGAGGGGCCGTTCTTTCCTGAAGCAGATCCTCCTGGAGGAAGCGCTTTTCCTGCAAGCGGGCCAGAAAGCGACCAAAGCTGCTTGCACAAACCACACTGCGAGGCTGAAGCTTAATCGAGTAGATCGTGGCTGTTGCAAGCAGCTCCTTTTTCAGTGCCTGGCGCAGGGTTGACAGCGAAGGGGTGGCCCGCAACCCGTGCTCTCTGTATTTAGATGGTGCAGGACCCTCAAAGCTTAATCAGGCTAAATCATCAAGACGATTTAGATCTACTTCCTCGCTCGCTTATTCAAATTCCAGTGACCATGCCAGGCCACTGGACAATGCATGCTTCTGGCATGAGCACCAACTTAACCACTGTAGCCTACAGGGCTTGCGGAGCCCCCTCTTACTGCAGCTCCTGTGTCTCTGAACGGGTTTTGCACTGTGGTCCTCTTGCTCGTTTACGGCAGTGCGTGTCCGTGCAGCCATCAAGCTATTGCATTTTCCGAAAGATCTAGGCATGCTCTCTTAGATCCTAGATTGTCACTTGAGCTGGCAGCAGCACACTGCCTTAACTGAAAATCTGAGCTGTGGACACGCCCAGTCGTTGACGGTGCCCGCCAAGCAGACAGCGCAGATGCCAAACTGATTAAATCAGCTCGTCGTTTACTCTAGACGACTTTGCAGCTTGAGCAATGCAGTTTGCTAGCAGGAGTCCCCTCAAGCAAATTAAAAGTTCTTCCAAGATTCCAACCTCATTTCTGACGGTTGCTGTGGCGTGAAGAAGTTACAGTACACTTCACCTTCTTTGTGGCACATTGTGGGCTGCAGAGTGTTGTAAATCAAACACACTGGCCCTCGACTCCATGCTCGATACCATTTGCAATCGGCGTTGGCGGCATGCCTTTCAAGAGTTGACGTGTACCTAAGTCTCATTTGGGATTAGACGCACTGACATGTGTCAATGAGGGTGGGGCCTGGTAGGACCTTGGAATCTTCTGACTTCAACTTGCGAGAGCGCACTGAGTGGGCATCAGTTGGCATCTGGCTTCGCAATGTCTCGCTTGGCCCCCGGAGCAACGACGCTGGTTTTTCGGACAACGCAGGACTTTTGTGTCAGAAAGGCTGTTTCCATCAGTCCAAAGCACAAGCTGTAATTCCTGGCCGTTGCTTGTGAATTACTCCGCCACACTTTGCCATCTTTACCGAGGGTTACCAACAGCAATGACGCACTCCGTAAAAGCTACCACCATGCACAGCAGCGGCAACAACGATGATGGCTACCACCGTACTACCAGCACTGCGACCAGAAACTACTGCTGTTAGTGTTGTTGTTACTGCTGCTACCACGACTCTTACACAGCTCTGCTGCTGCTACGACTGCGCCTACCGCTATTGCTAAGTGCCACTGCTACTGCTACTGCTCTGCTACTATTGCTGTATACCACCACTCATTATTTTCGGCTCTTACCAGCACAACAAGTTACGTTTCTTCAACCCCTACTTTCGCTGCTAGTTGCCGCCTGCCACCAGCCGCCACCATTTTCCAAGCACGGTGACCTCACTCAACTTGAGGAATGGCAAGATCAAAGTATGCGGGCAGCGTATTGTGAATGCAACAGGAAAGCAGAACCAACCAAGTTGAGGACTACGAAAAGGATGACTTCCTGACAATGCTTCGGCTTGCGTGTCCAGATTTGTGGCAAGGCGCGCGATTCCCAAATTTTTTTGGGGGGCCCACCAACTCTGGAAACTTGTTTGTTAACATGGCAAGCAAGAGCTCAGCAAAGCATCCAGGCCCAGATGCGTATGAAGCAAAGGCAGCCTTTTCCATGTCTAGCTGAGGTCGCGCTTGCCTGCAACTGCTCATGTAGGTTTCGTTGCATCCTCCATTGTTGCCGCAATCAGCCGGATTTCCATCCAGTGTCAGTGCGGCAGGCAGTGTCTTCCCCTACGATTTCGTCTATTTACCCTGCTCTCGCGTCGTGATTGTGCAACATGGCAGGATTAGCTAACGTAATTGGGATTTCTCAATTTCAGGGGAGGGTACCTATTCTTAGTGCAGAATTGTTGTGCGTTTTTTCTGCCTTGATGCATGCGGCAAAAGATATTCAGATCGGAAACCTTGAATCTCAAGCCTCATCAAAGTTTTGCTGCAGCCGCGCAAGCCCTACAAGGAATTTTGCGTCTCACGA